ATGTTTGTGGTTGTAATGTGACAAAATATGGAAAAGTTCAAGGGGTATGAATACTTTTGCAAACCACTGTATATACATATATACACAGTAAGGTACAGTACAAAAATGAATGTATATGAAGGTGCATATTAGTGATGGCAGTGTAGGTGAATTGTCCAAGTGACTGATAACATCATGTTGTGTATAATGAATATAATAATGAATGTATAATAATAAAGCAATGCTATTGTTCATATTGTCATTTTTGTAAAAGTAGTCGCTGATGATTTTGAATAAGTCTTTCAGTTGTTTAGAACCATCTATTGGAGCAGTGGTTTGACGTAATCGTTTTGATGAGCTTGTCAGTTTTTCACACTACTGAAAGGGAATTTGATCCACTCTTGTTGCTTCAGTTAATTAAAGTGTGTGCATTTATGTGCAGGTCTCCTAATATCTGCTGCTGGTTTCCTTTTCTCCTCATTTGACTTTTGGACCATAACTGAGCCTTTGCAATAAATAATTTCCTTTCTTTCATCAGTTCTGTCGATGATTTGTTGCTGTTCGTGGCCTTGTTGTTCTGTTGCACGAACCAGCTTAATCTGTCAAGTAAATGGCCTAATTTTTGACTCACACTTTGGTATTTATTGATTAAACAACTTCATGATGTCCCAGCCCGTATCATCGCCCCTCCACTGTGTCTAACTGGCGGTATCAGGTCTTTATGTGTTGTTTTGCTTTATAACTAACAATCTTTAATTTGCTCCTTCTGTTTAAAGAACACTGTTTTAGAATTATTGCAGTTTGAGGTGTTTTAGATATTTTTCTTTGGTTTATTAGAATGTCTCTGTTGCATGGACTGACCTTCAGGAGAATCCTCAGGGATCTGCGCTCCTGGGAAAAATTGGAAAATGTCTTGAATGTTTGCCACTTGTAAATAATTTTGTAATTTGTATTGCATTATTATTATTATTATTAAGAGTTTGAGAATGACCTTATAACCATCCTCAGACTGACGAGCTGGGAACTGTTGAAACTTCATCATGTATTAGTACTTTAAACTCTCACTTAATTAAAATATTTGTTTTGTTTTTTTTTTGCACTTTGCTGCTAACTGCCTTCTGAATTCCTACAGAGGCAGCAACGGGAACACATTTTTCGTGCGGTCTTTCACTAAATTTATAATAATAAAATGCTGATAGGTTTTCTCCTTCGTAATTGTAGAATTCATAGCAGTTTTATTCTGTGGAATACCTGGAAGATAGTTTGTAACTTTTTGAAATTTTTGCAATTTTCAAGCAGCAAATTGTTTTAAAGAAAATATAATAGAACTTTTGTTAGTTGATAGGAATGAGAAAAAAAAACCCCGAAAGAATCATTTGGAGGAATGCATAATAACTGCCTTACATGCCCTCAGGTGAAGGTGACTCTTGGCTACTACCACTTCAAATTTGGCAGAGTTATAGCCTTTTTTTGTTTGTTTGCTTAAGGTGAATCAACTGTAGCAGCCATTTTGAATCAGGTTGACTCCAAAAGTTAATCAGCTGTAGACAGACATCCAGCGATTACTTTCTGAAAGATGGTTCAACAGATATTATGCTAACAGACAGACATGATTGCCCAGTATTGATGTGCCAGGTTTATATGGGTTTTGATCCAGTTTCCTCACCTGCGCTGTGTATACCTGTGCTTGTGCTGCAGGAAATCCTTGTGTTGTGCTGCACGTCTCGGCCCCCCCGTGCTCGGAGGGAGAGCCATTAATCTTCACTAAATCAAATAAATCAAGTGCACTTTAGAAAAGAGCTGTCAGTGTTGTGATAGCCATTCTGCTGCTACTCCAAGGAGAGCGCTGTTGGAAATTGTGCCAGGGAATGCACACTCGCTGGTATCCAGAAAAAAAAATAAATTAAAAGCGGGTGCCCTGAGAAACGATGCAGTCGAAGCCAATTGTGAATTCAGACAATCTGAACTTGCTGCTGTTGTTGCAGCCACGTTGTTTTTTTTCCCCACAGAGTTTGTCGGAGTGGGATGCTCGCAGAAGGCCGCAGCAGTCTGGAAGTGTTTCTGTTGGATCGTACTCGTGGTTAAATATGACCAAACAACCCCTCTTGGTTCCACAAGCTAAGACTGCTGTTAAATGTTTTGCTGAAAATGAAAATCAAACCTAGCCTTCAGCTCCACATCCCTGTGCTTCTGCAGGGAGAAAGAGAGAGACAGAGAGTGCACAGTTTGGTATTTCTCTTTAACGAAATGCTAAACCCTTTCAGGAAAAGCACTGTGGCAGGCGCACGGATGAGACGGAAGGTAATGTGAATGGAAAGAGCAGCATGTGAAAAGGCTGCACTGCCCTTGGCTTCCCTCTCAACCAATGAGGGTTAAATGACTATCTGGGCACCTTGGCAACCATTTCTGTGCTCCTTCCTCCTCCTCCTCTAATTTGACTCTGAACAGGCAAAACAGGCTGCACTCATCAGTCAAACATTTATTTATTTTTTGAAACGAAGTAACAGATCTGCTGTCAAAATGCAGACCAAAGAAGTTTCCTTCTGAATTCAAGACCCTGATTATTATTATTTTTTATTTATCTTTTTGAAGTACCCTGTAAAGCTAAGAAGCTCTCAGCATCCATAGTGCGGAACAGCGTGAGCTTGTGTACAAACGTTTGGAGAAATGGTTTAGTTCTGACCAAATTAATGAGGTAAAGACTGGTTGGAGCAGGACTAAGACCAGAGTGGAATGCTGCCACCCTAAAACAACTCCAGTCTCAAGCATGCCACTGCTGTTTTAGGAATCTTTACACAGTTTTGTTTTGTTTTATTAGCCTCTGAAGCACTCGTTAAGGATGACTCTCAGCTACTACTACACCAAATTTTAGCTCCGTATCTGTACAATTTGCTGAAGTAAAGCAATATTTGTGTTTAACAGGCTCAATTCGCTGTGGCAAGCATCTTAAATGAGGTTGACTAAAAGAGCTAACCACTTTTAGATGCCCGTGTAATAATTTTGCTAACAAACATCATAACTCTTAAAAGTTGGTGCTCAAGTTTTACGTAAAGATGTTACACAATGTGTTTGGGGTTTTAGCTTCTTTTTTTTTCAAAATTTCAGAGCTATTGCTAATTG